TCGTGTCGTGCAGCCGTGAAATCCAAGCAGAATAGGAGAAACGACTAGGAATGGATGGATCCACACTCCTAACAAGTTGCAAGCTAATAAAGAGAACCTGAGGAGGACGAATCCCTCAAACACTATGGCAAAGTGAATCGAGCTTTCTCGAAAGGTGATTTCAAGAGAGAAGCATTGCTTGTTAAGAAGCTGCTAGAATGAAAACTCGCAAAGCGCGTTCTAGGAAAAAAAATAGAAAGAGTGATGTTTGTTCGAGCTAAAAATTGAGAGATAGCTTGAATGTTCCTCTTGAGAAGCAAGACTCCATGAAAAACTCTATCATCGCTTATACCCATTCCTACTTCTTAGGAAAGTCTCAGGATATAGGTTGAAACACCTTCATGAGAGAAAAAGCCAAAGGAACTCCCTCTACACGAGATCTTCTAAAGTTCCACATCCAAGCAAGTGTAGGACTAGCCCTACAGTCAGACAACCTAGGCCTCTCTAAGGGGTAACCTCCCTCTACTTCTCTGTGTATGAATCACGAACTCGGGGCATGCCTGAGCCCTTGAGCTACATCAAATGGGCACGTGTAAATTAAAAATTATATTTTAATGCCATACACTTTTCTACTTCATTTCTCTTGTCCCTTTTATCTACTCTAAGCCTTGTCAACAAACCTTAAATCAAGTACATTTGAAATAAAGACGTTATTAGAAATAATGGCTTAATACGCAATAAAAAAAACATAAAGATCAATCAAATTTGGTACCCGGAACGACCCGTACTGATTTCGGAACGGCCCGTTCCGAAACGTTCAAATATGCGTAAAATTCTCAACTGGAACGACCCGTTCTAATATCGGAACGGCCCGTTTTCAAAAAGCAGAACGACCCGTTCTAAAATTAGAACGGTCCGTTCTGGAGTTCCAATTTACACTAATTGACCATTATTGGAACGGCCCGTTTCTAACATAGATTTTTAGGCATTTTTAAAATTCTGGAACGGCCCGTTTCCCTTTGGGAACGGCCAGTTCTGGAGAAATCAAAATGGGCCATTTTACAAATTTAGAACGGCCCGTTCCACTTTTGGAACGGCCCGTTCTAAGCCCAGACTTATTATTTTATTATTTTTTAATTAAAAAAAATCTCTTTAATAATCCTATAAATATTTAAAATACATAAAATAAAAAGAACCTTTTTTTTTTATTAATATTGTATAAAATTTGGGATGTTACAAAATTAACCTATGTGCGTTAATCGCAAGTAATGGAAAGTAAGCCATGCATAGAGTTTAGGGTAAATAACTCCATTATCATTAAGACCCCAACTCTTGCCCCAAGAGGATAAAGTCGTGTCGTGCAGCCGTGAAATCCAAGCAGAATAGGAGAAACGACTAGGAATGGATGGATCCACACTCCTAACAAGTTGCAAGCTAATAAAGAGAACCTGAGGAGGACGAATCCCTCAAACACTATGGCAAAGTGAATCGAGCTTTCTCGAAAGGTGATTTCAAGAGAGAAGCATTGCTTGTTAAGAAGCTGCTAGAATGAAAACTCGCAAAGCGCGTTCTAGACAAGAGAAATGAAGTAGAAAAGTGTATGGCATTAAAATATAATTTTTAATTTACACGTGCCCATTTGATGTAGCTCAAGGGCTCAGGCATGCCCCGAGTTCGTGATTCATACACAGAGAAGTAGAGGGAGGTTACCCCTTAGAGAGGCCTAGGTTGTCTGACTGTAGGGCTAGTCCTACACTTGCTTGGATGTGGTGAATCGAGCTTTCTCGAAAGGTGATTTCAAGAGAGAAGCATTGCTTGTTAAGAAGCTGCTAGAATGAAAACTCGCAAAGCGCGTTCTAGGAAAAAAAATAGAAAGAGTGATGTTTGTTCGAGCTAAAAATTGAAAATTAAATAAAAATTTCCTGAAAGTTATCTACGGAAAATTTCGTAGATAACATTATCTATGGAAAATTTCGTAGATAACGTTACCTACAGAAAATTCCTTAGATAACATTACCTACGGAAAATTCCTTAGATAACATTACCTACGGAAAATTCCGTAGATAACGTTACCTATGGAAAATTTTGTAGATAAATGTTCCGTAGATAACGTTATCTACAACCATATTATCTACAGATTTTTTTCGGTAGATAATTGACACTTATCTACGGATTTTTCATGTTTATCTACGGATTTTTCCATAGATAATCTTGAATTTTCTTGTAGTAGCAACTTCTAAGCAACATATTTTTATAAAGAACAAATCTTTTTCTTGGGGAACATGTTTATTTATTGCTACTACATTTGTTGCCATGTTGTTGCATAATCTATTTTGCAAATGACTAATGTTCAAAACCATTTTTAGAAAAATAATTTAAGCTCTAGCACTCAAAAGCATCAACTTCTAAAGGTATAATCAACACCAATAATCAGAAGTAGATGCTTCTGAGCAACACATTTTTACAAAGAAATGATGATTAAAGAGCATAAGAATTCAACCTCTTTCTTGTATGCTAACATTTATTTCAATTGGTATTAGAGCTTGACTCCTAGAGTTGAGCACACTTAATAATGTAGGAGAAAAGATCTTGAAGAAGTGATGGCTATGCAACTCTCAGATGTATTTATTTTATTTCATTAGTTTTCTATATATTATTTTTATCAATTTAACTAAGAAAAGCAACGATTTGATGTGTTTGGATGGATTGGAGAAGCTTGTGATTCCACAAAGTGTAGAATTTATGGCAACATTGGGTGTAACTTCATTGGTGTTAGGTGGAAAAGAACAGTACTTCATGCTAAGTATTAAGGGAGTCACAATGAGTGCAATGATGCTAGAGAGGTCTTTGACTTCTCTACATTCGAGCAAGATCAAGGTGACTCGCTTGACGTCATTTTTACATCATTTTCGAGTGAAGATGACATCGAGCATGATCTAGATCATGTCGGATAGGTTGGTTCTAAACGACTGTCTAACTCGCCAACGTTAGGCGTGTGGTGCTCCATGCCTAGCTCAAATCAAGCAAAGAGGTCCCTAGTCTCTCAATGCTAGGCATAGGTAGTACAATGTCGAGTGTGAATATGGCAAAGAGATCCCATATCTCTTTGCACTAGGCGTGAGTCTAACCTCATCAAGCATCATGCCATTATTATATATAGCTATGTTTATAAAAATAATTTGGCAATGGAGGAGCTTGTTAAGAATGATTAGTGCTAGAATTAAAAGAAAAGAATAAAAAAGTAGTAATCATGAATAAAAGTAATTGAAAAGAGAAAGATATGAGGAAGGACAATAGGTGTATGAAATCAAGTATAAGTTGCATTATAAAGTGATTGAGTAATAGTGATGTTATGATACTAATTTGGTAAGGATGGTATTGAGAAAGATGATGATATATGAGATAATGAAAATGACATTATAATGATGTATATTGAGGCAATATGAAGATGATGTTGAACATGTAAGTTCAACCTATGATTGAAAATGAAGAGGTCCAAGCAAGGCTTGGTGTGTTGTGGAAAAGTCCAAGGTTGAGATCTAGCAAGAATCACCACATGGTGTGTGTAGAGTCCATGCGCTCATGCTTTATTTGCAAGGTAGTGTGAGTCTATGCAGGAGAATCTCTATAGTCATCTACCTAGACCTTAAGGGTCTTATGGTAGGGAGCCTCTAACATGTAAGATAATCATGGCCTACTATAATACTTTGACTAGATTCTAATAGACATCCTCTACTTAAGAGTGGGTTGACGGGGTCACCTAGTGTGTGGTGATTCCATTTCATGACTTCTAGGCTGCCTTGAGTTAGTGATGAGGAAGAGATTGATATCACATGTATATATAATCAAGTACATGCATTTGCAAGAGATTGAGATATCTTGAATAAGATGAATGATTGTTATTGATGAATGAAAGTGGAGTGATAAATTTATTGGGTTGAGTTTGACTTTAAATTGTTCAGATAATATCTTAATTTGATCCTTAATAAAAACAATCATTAACTAGACTTTATTTACCTCCTAGTCGAGGCAAGTTAATTTAAGATGAAACCTTGAGTCACTTTGAAACATGCATAGACTAATAGAAACTTTTAATTAATAAACTAAGTTAAGATAGTGAGTGTCTTCACTCTCCCGTGAATATGATAACGTTATCTGCTAGAAGACGGGCTGAGAAGGCAAGTTATAGGATTGGAGTCCAACCATGTAATTTGATCCAATACTTCTCCATGTGCTACTTTTTCTTCTCCTCTTTGCTAATTAATAAGCTCTTAAAATCACGCAATTGTTGAGCAAAATATCTCATCCTAAAATTATCGAAACCGACAAAAACAGTGTATTACTACATATCAATCCTTTCCACACACCACACAACACCTTCATAAATAAAGATTGAGAAGCATATATAAGCTGATCAATTTCATAAGGATTCTGGACATATATTAAATAATATATATTAAATTCATAATAGTTGAGGGATAGAAAAAGCAATTGACTATTTTGACAGAAAAGAGTGAGAAAAGAAAGACAAATGTCAAAGAGTTTACTGTTTACAAATAGACTCGTAATAGTTTCACTTTTCACACTTACTAAAACACCAAATCTAGTTTTTGAAAAAGATTAAATAAACTAAGATTTAGTTTTACTAGAACTGATAGAGATGTAAAAAAATAAAAGATATTAGGCGGCAAAGTGAGGAAAACTGAAATACTCTAATATCCAATGAAATGATAAACAAGCACTAAGGAGTTTTGGAAATAATTCTCTTAGCCACGTATCGATATATTGTTAAGTTCAACACGGCTCACACATTCCTTTAACCAAGAACTCCAGCAAGTATGAACCGACAATGATATTTCACTTATTAAATTGAAGAACATGCAAATACTACAAGACAAAAGAATAATCTGTTAGGTATCTAAGATTTTTCTTTAAAAAAGATAACGGGAGGAAAATTAACCTTTCATATGTCTTCTTCAAACCATTTAGACAAAATGCATTCCTGTTTTCT